TATTTCCAGTGAAAAAATAAAATGAAGATGAAGAAACTAGGGCAACATAAAATTAAACTAAAGTGAATAATGAATAGTGGCATTAACAACCAATAAATAGAAAATTTAATTTATGGAAATAAATTAAAATTTATTTTTTCATTGTATTATACTAACACATTTAGTGTATTTATTTATTTTAACACATAAACATTGGTACAAGGAGGCACCAAATAGATATGCGCCACATAAATCATCCGATTTGTGTGAGGGCTGGGATACTGCCCGGGTGCTCAAACCCAAGCAGGTGATTCTCTTAGGAACCACACCCCAAGCCTTCGACCTGAAGGTCTGATCCACAAGGCAGTGGAGCATCGTAAGGAGATGCAGTCCCATGGAAAGTGGTGACCAACAATTGGTTCATACGCCATTTGCTCCTTCAGGTTACTGGATCCCATGTGCACCATTGGTTTAGAATCAGCGTTTTCCAACTCCCCTATATGGGCTCACCGTGTCCACCTTCCCGGTTAAAGCGCCGGACATTCGCTTTTCGTTCTCTCGATTCCGTAAACAACACCCCGGCCACTAGAAGGCAGTGAGTAGGACTTCCCTGGCAGTGGTTGTATACACGTGGCCATGTGAGAGCATTTTCAAGGGGAGGGCTAACTCTCCCCACTCTAGGCCGTTTGGGGGCACACTTTTAGTGGAATTAATATTTAAAAAATAAAATGGTTTATCACATTTTTGAAATTCAATATTCCTCACTAACTTCGTTTTATTGATTAAGTAGTATAGAGTACAATACAAAATTTTAAGTTTTATGTAAATGTTTAATAAAAATTTCTAGATGAAGTTAGTGATTAAAGTTGAAAAAAATTATCCTAAGGTTAATCGTACATTAAAGAAATAATAATTTTAACCATTAGATTTCCATTAGGTTTTCCATGGTAATCTAGCTTCAATTGACTTATGAATTCAACCATTAAATTACTAAAATCTTCACAAAACCCTCTTCTGTTAAAAAAAATAGATAACTAATTTTCATTATCATTTCCCATTATCATTTATGTGATTGGATTAAAGCCGTCATATTTTATATACATATTTCTATTCTTATAACAAAGTAATCTCTGAACAACTTGATCATTATATTTTAATGGACGCTAATCACAAGACAAGACAGAACATGCATCCTAGATTCTACTGCTAATCACCATCCACCTTTGCTTATAATCACAAAATTTCATTGGTTAAAATCATGAGTCAATTGAAGCTATACCATCATGGAAAGCCTGTAAGCACTGGACGGCCGTTTCGTCCTATTGTGGGACTCCTCAGCAGTGCGCATCCACGATCCCGTCCCCCGCGGGATTCGAACCTAGGACCTATCAGTCTCGCACCAGGTGCTTAACCAACTAGACCACTGAACCGGCATCCAACGGTGTTGATGTCTAACTTGAACCATTCCACGGAATTGTGCTTCCGTTGGATGCCGGCTCAGTGGTCTAGTGCTTAAGTGCTCGCGCGTGAAGCCAGTAGGCCCTGGGTTCGAATCCCGCGGGAGCGGGTTCGTGGATGCGCACTGCTGAGGAGTCCCATACTAGGACGAAACGGCCGTCCAGTGCTTCCTGGTTTTCAATGGTGGTCTAGCTGCAACTGACTCATGATTTCAACCTGTGAAATCACAAAATTGTTTGTAAATAGTTAGTAAGTTATGAAATCAAGAAGTTTATTTGTCTTTTTCAGTATTATCGGGGTATGATCTTCACTATCAACTTGATTTATTGAATGGTTTATAATTTTCTTCTAGAAGTTGAAGATTTTGAAACTTGAAGGAAGTTGTTAATAAAATGTGGTTAGTCAAAAGTTGGGTAACACTGAGATTTTTCGAGGTTATGTAGTAAGGGTTGTATAGTCTCATCTACTTACAAATTAAGTTCAAGGAGCTTCACTTACAATCAAATTAATAAATATTCACACATATATCAATACACTTTATTAAATTCATACATGTAATTATTCATCCGTTTCCTTACCATTTGTCACTCACTTAACAACAGTTAGTATTTTATTAATAGTATTGATATAAATTGAAGAAATTATACTTGGATTGATACTTCTATATGATAATATTACTTACTTGCACCTGTTACCCCTCATGGAGGAGAATAGGCTACTCACCAACACTCTACATCCAACTCTATCCTGGAAAATCCTTCACAGTTTGTCTCAGTTGCTGTTCATCCTTTTCATGTCTGCTTCCAATTCTCGACGCAGTGTTATTTGGCCTCCCTCTTTTCCGTTTCCTTTCACGATTCCAAGTTAGCGATTGCTTCGTAATGCAGTTTAATGATTTCCTCAATCTATGTCCTATCCACTTCCAGTGGATTTACCTGATTTCCTCCTCAGCTAGGAGTTGGTTTGTTCTCTCCCACAGTAGGCTGTTGTTGATGATATCCAGTCAACGGACATTGAGTACCTTGCGTGGACGATTGTTTATAAATATTTGTACATTTTTGATAATTGTTGTGGTAGCTCTGCAAGTTTCAGCTCCGTACAGTAGGACTGTCTTGATGTTTGTATTGATGTAATAATATTACTACAGCTTAATTTTCAAATTATTATTAGGCTAATGTATTTGTTATGGATTTACTGAAAGTTGAGTTAAACACATTTCAATGGTCAAGATCATGAGCCAGTTGAAGCTAGACCACCATGGAAAACCTGTAAGCACTGGACGGCCGTTTCGTTCTATTGTGGGACTCCTCAGCAGTGCGCATTTACGACCTTGCCCCCTGCGAGATATTAATCAAACATACGCTCACTAGTGACTGGCTTCACGAGGTATATCCTGGAGTTCTAGTGAGAAGTAGTGACCAGTGGAGTTCAACCGTGACAAGGATTATCAATAAGAATTAAAATATATATCATTCATTAATGAATGAGGTCAAAATTCTATTCGAAAATTTATTAAGATTTTTACACATGTAAAGCAAGAATTTGCAATGAATAATGATAATTAGATAATAATAGCTTATAACCAAAGTTTGAAAATACGGAACAAAGAATTCCGATAGCTCACTTCCAAAGGTAATGTATTCACAAACTACTTACTCTCACAATATTTATTCTGATGAAAATAGTTTCTTACTGTAAAGACTATTGGACTTTCTAATAAGCAAGTTAATTAACTAGTTTTAGACAGTTCTATATTAATAATAACTGTTGTTTATATAGTCTCTTGAATGATGAATATTATCAAAGTTTTGCTTCACTAAAAGGAAATATAGTCAAGAGTTCCGATTATTTCACATCAAATCTTCAACGATTTACAAGTACATCACCTTTAAGACTTTTTAATTTTATTGTGTTTTTAAAAACATCAAACGGTAGCGGTAACTGGGATCCATCAACATATTGACTGTTAGAATTCTGATTGAGTTTACTGATGGTGAAATAGTGTCATAGTGAAATAATGTCATGAAGTGAAGTAGTGTTTAACATGAAATCTAAATCCTAGAACAAATATTAATGTTATATATAAAGAACTTTCATATTTCCTATTTAATTCCCAACTCCTTATTTAAATTAAATGATTATATAGGTTCGGTATAAATATAGTACGACAATTATTTAGAATCAACGTTGAAAAACATTTCAGTTGTATATTGTATGATTTATAAACCACATTGTTTAGAGGCGAACAATAAGAATGATTCTAAGATCTTCGTATGCTAACTAGCACCAAATTAATGTTTTTAAATTTTCTTTCACTCATATCGAGGTACATACATCGCTAGATGGTGAGACTCCTGCCGCATTAAGAAATGCATTGGCCTATATAGTGATGGCTCCTTTCTACATAGAGGTGATAATGATAAATAATATTTTTACAGTTGAAATCACAAGTTTTAAACTAGACTACAATTGAAAGCCTGGAAGCACTGGACAGTTATCGCGTCCTAGTACGAAACTCCTTAGCAGTGCGCATCCACGACCTCGCATGCAGGGATCGAACCCAGGACATTCGGTCTTGCATGAAAACACTTAACCTGTAGACCATTAAGCTGACATTCGATGGTATTAATGTTTAACTTCAATCAATCCGTAATCTTGCATAACCGTTCACCGATTGTTCCAGGCGGATAACTGTCTCACACTCAACATAGATTAGATTCGACTGGTCGCGGCTTCTCACTAGAACTCCTGAAATTGCATCGTGAAGCTAGTCACTAATGATTTTCTTTAGAAATATTCTACTTATAATCATGATACTCTCACAAATTCAAATCTCAATAATCAAGTCTATTTAAGTAATAAGGAATCTTGGACTTTCAGGAGTAGTGAAGTATTTAAAAACACCATAGTATAATTTATTGCTTATCCCGTCGATAGCTAAAAATATCTATGTATTGCCATCAGAAAATTTATTTCAATATAATTTTCTGAGATTTTTTATATCCATCGAATAACACTTGTGAAGTAGAGAATGATGAAATTTTTCCTCATCTTAGTATTGTACTTTCAAGATCTCTTTTATTAATAAACCAGGTTTCTTACCATACATAATGAGTAAATCATCTTTTAAATCATATATTCTACTTTTAGTGAATCCTATTTTCAACCGTATATCAATATGGTGTTGTATATTTTATCAAAAACATTATTTAAAAATGAGCTCTCAGATGATGGATTTCAATGTTAAATTCGGAAGAGTTTCATTAAAGCAAAAGTGATTTAAACAACACTGTAAAGGACTTTCAGTAGATTCTCAACCTATTATGACAATATACTGTAACAGAAACTTTGAACAATCTAAAAAAACAAATATCATATTCATTTTTGATCTTAACTGGTTATTTTATGCTTAGTTTCTACGAAAAATAATTAACCAGTTTGCATTGATATATCAATTTACTTCTTTTAAATATATAAACCACGTGATTATTATATATGTAGAAGACAAACTTATTTCAAGTTAAATGACTCAGATATAAAGTGATAGAATTACTTATGTACATGTATTTGTAGGAAGAGAAGTACTAGTTAGTTAATTAAATCTTTTTTTAATTATTTTCTATCGTTATTATTCTTGGCTTGATATACATATATTTTTTCTTAGCATCACTGGACAAACATTACAAACTCTCTTGTTTTATGATGTGTCTATTTTTGCATTCTACCCCCTTGTGTAAATTGAGACGATTGTTGATACTGCTGTTCATATACTATATTGTTTTAATGTTTAACTTGTCATCAGGTCGGGGTTTATTTTTACTGTTGAAATTATTGTATTTGATGGTTACATTGATGGTGGTGGTGGTCGTCGTAGTTGTAGGGTGGTCAAGTTGATGATCCTTAAAATAAAGAGTAAATAATTTTTTTTAAAGTAGACACTATGGACAATAGTTTCCAGTCGTTCTCTCTCTCTACTCTCATACTCTCACGAATACAAATGTTATTTCACATACACACACAAGTACATATTATACATATCTCTATGTACAATTGTATACACGCGCAGAAAATGATATGAGCTCAAATTTATGATTAATATAATTGCCCAATGAGGTTAGTGATAGATTGGTTAGTTCAGATCATATATATTTTTTTTACTTAAATATGTCCTTATTTTACCGGTCATCAGTATTTACTTTTCTATGTATGTGTGTTTATTAACATGTTAGTATTATCCACATGCGGTATAAACATTGTTATTTTTAAAATTGACGTGTACAGTACTATAAATGATCAAAAAAACTTATCAGATATGGTGCTTTATCTATATTCAAATGTATGCTCACTACATACACCACCTTAGAACCGCAAATTATTTCATTTTCATTCTTTATATATAAATAATCGTCCTCTTATTTGCATGTTTGTATGTAGATGCGTGTTTATGTGCACGTTTCTATGTTTCACTTAAATATTAAGTTCCCCCGTGTTTCAGTCTTTTTAAAGTTTATATTATATGTACATTCAATTTTAATTTTTTGGTCATTATGTCCATAGGTCATATAGAAATAATGTATGTGTGTGAAGAAGAATATGAAATACGTCACTATATATATATAAATAGATATATGTGAACCTTCTTATTGCCTTAGTCCATTTCAGTCAACCACACCACCACCAACCATATCTTACCAACAACCGATTCTTTCCAATACGATTATGGTTATTAATTTACTATTTGTCATAGTTCTCAGTTGTAATTTAATCTGAACACTGAAAGGACGATAAATTCATCTTATGTTCAGAAGGTGGATATAATATAAATTACTATTGTCAATGCTAATAGTAGTATTACAATCCGTGTAGTGAGTGGAATATATAAAAAAACAAGGATACGAAAAAACTCCGTTTATCTTTATAAAAATAACTGAGCAAAAAAAATAATGAATATTACATTACTAATGAATGAAACAGACTCTGTCCAATGTCATTCGGTAAATGTAATCTCTGATAGTATAGATGATTATACAAATTTATCAAATGTACAGTATATACATAAACATAATACCAGTAATAATTCTAGTAATAATAATACTAGTAGCACAATTAATAATCACAATATGCTTATCACTAATCACAAAAGCAATTCAAACAGTAATACCAATGAACTATCAACTACAGATTGTACTAATTTAGCAGATAATTTGGTAAGTTAATTAACTGTTTAATATATAATGTATATTGTTAAACAATTATGTATGCCTAATCTTATAAAGATTAGTATTTGCTTACTATTATATGTGGTAAATGTTGTGAAGCATCGTTCAAATAATAATAATGTATGGAATACCAGTAGGGTATACGTCGTGTTCAATCAAGATGTCAAATTATCTATTTAACTCGAAATGACATAATCTACTATTATATAAAATATGAATTCCAAAAATTCGTATGATTTTTTAATGTTTATTTTCGAATGAGTTAGAACTCATCTTATAAATATGTTTACTTGTCTGCATACACTAATGTACTATAAGTTTTTAGCAACTTTAGGAGCATTATTTAACGCTCAATGGTTTCAAAATGTGTATATAAAAGTATACGTATTATATCACAAGTGTAAAATGATTCGTGGCTAATATCAAGTAGACGTATATCGAACAAAATTTTCAAAATTTCCTGACAGTAATTTTGATCTAGATAAGTCGATAGTAAGTGAATTCAAGGTTTATCTACACTACCTATTTATATTGACCATAAAATATTTTTTACTCAGGTAATATGTATAAACAAAAACGTAATTATAAGTCATTAGACAGTAATCCTAAGGTATCATCGTTTTCCTATCCCATCAAAAATGAAATAATTCCGAGGAATTAAGAAAGATTTATTGCTTTAGTTAGTGATTTACAAAATCGGTTAGATAAGAAATATAAGTACCGGTAAAAAATAAATTTTGTAAGGGTTTTGAGATAATGAGTGTAGATTAACACGCTATCTGTTCATTAAATTATGCTTGACGTTATCAGAATGATTGAACGTGAACTATTGTTGATCCTATAATAATATATAGTTAATTTAAACAAGTATATCTAATACTGAACTTGACTGATTTGATTTATAGTTAAAGTTATTAAGCTTTGACTATTCAGTGGCACATTCAAATTCTACCTTATCTACTACAGTTTGAGTAACTGTCTATTCTCAATAATCCACATATGTATTCAATTGATATTTTTCAGAATTTTAGGGAACCTATACTTCTCGTCATTAAAGCTTCAGCCAGCATTATAAGTAACTGATGTAGATTACTGTAATCTACTCTAAACTACTTGCATACAATCCACTTATTGGGTGATTATTTTCAACTGAAGACTATCAGTAGTTTTTTACGTAGTTATTGGTCACCAATCTAAAGTTAACAATCATGACTTACAAAGTTATTTGCTGATATTTTTTTTCTGGTTTTGAATCACTGATTCCTAATGAAACTTAACTGGGAAAAACTAACTAGGCAATTAGTAATAAATATTCATTCGCATTTATTGTCTAATTGTCATGTGGGACACCTTAATCGATTGCCTATTTATGTATAGAATTCTAGTTCAAACTGTACTTCACCGAATGGTTCAACACTTACCATGTATGGTACACAACATCGTTTTAAAATCAGCCCAAATACATATCACGATCTGGAAAACGGAAACAGTTTGACTACTGCAAGTATTGGTCCTCGTCCGGATACAGATCTTGATTCAGCATTCCCACCGAAAAAGCTATACACTGACGATATACCTGTTCTGTAAGTAACACTTTATCTATGGTCATGGATTTATTTCACATAAATTTGCTTACGTTTGAATTATCTCCATTTTTGAGTGATATAAAGCTGAAATTTAACAATGTAATATTTTTAACCGTTAATTTGTAAACAATAAACTAAGTTATACACAGGGAGATTATTTCAATGTCAATTTAGATCCTATCCGTCATCAGTAAGACTCAACACATACTAGTCTTTTTGGCAAAAGTTCGGTTTTGATAAATCCATTGAAGTTGTGCATTTTGCTCTTTGTCGCATTAATAAATAAGACATGATAATTGGCTTTCTTTATTTTAGATTTCGTGTTTGCTTGAGAACTTATTATTTGAAGGTTAGATAATTGCATTAAGATTTAGAAAATGCAATTGATAACTTCATCATTTACATTTCGACAATTAATACAAAAGAATAACAATAATCAATGAGTTGATAAATTGGATTCGAACTAATTCTTAGTTGAATATTCTTAATATTGTGTATATAAAGTATTTTACGTGGTACAGGTTAGGTGGATTGTAATAAGTAACAACTGTGATTTATTATCATCCTGATCTTTCTGAAATATGTTTTAACAAATTCAGGACCCATAACTGTTCACATTGATTATCTTATGTAGAGTAACAAGTTGGATCAATATGCAAAATATAAATTATAATCTGAATTATCAAACTACAACAATATATCCAGTAGAAATGATAAGAATTTTATTTTTCCTACTGAAGTTGAACCTTTCTCTCTGACTTATGAAACAAGGGGAATTCGTATACTTGTGGGTAAATTATACATATATTTTAGTTGAACAAACCAAACATCAGAGAACATTATTCAGTGATAAAATTTATGTAGGTTCCATCTGTATCTGAATTTATTGTGATAAATTATTTGTAGCTAAATTCATGAGTCGATGTAACCTGAAGCACTATTGAAAACCTGGAAGCACTGAACGGCCGTTTCGTCCCAGTACTGGATTCCTCAACAGTACGCGTCCACGATCCCGCACACGGGATTCGAACACAGAACCTTTGATATCGCGTGCAAACGCTTAACCTCCAGACTACTGAGCCGGCATCCAACGGTGTTAATGTCTAACTTCCATCTTTAACACCTTAAAAGCTGCAGAAGTGAAACATCTTTTTCGGCTTCGATATTTTATTTACGTAGCCTAAACATCGATAAAACTAACTTGAGTTACTATACTTAATACAGTATTCCTTCAATACATAGTCAACTTGATTAATTCATTGGGATATTTCCATCATTTACATTTTCATGGTGCCTTGTAGTCGAAGTAATATATCTTTTTTATGATGAATAAAATTGCAAACGTTTTGTAGAATCAATCCATTTTTGATTGATTGCTTCCTGACCATGTGAGGTTTTAAATTCCATTCATAACCACAGTTAAGTATCATTTAATTATATTACTTGTAAAATTTAATAATCTTTATCTGTATCTTATATACCAAGAAATGTTCACTGAAGCTTATTGAAATAATGATGGATATGGATGATAAGGTGAGACCGGAGATCCTGGGTTCGATTCCCGGATCGAGGTCATAGATGCGCAGCTCTGAGGAATCATATGCCAGGTAGAAACGGCCATTCCGTGCTTCCAGGTTTCAAGTGGTGGTTTATGTGGATCAGTTCATGATTTAAATTGTTAAAAACCTCCATTGTTTTAAAATAATAGCCACTAGCGAAGAGCTCTGAGATAGTAAATCTTAAGATTTAGATGTCTCCTTACTTGTTAACCACGTGTTCATGATAATTTGTGTTAAGAATGACTCAGTTTGTAAAGCGGTATTTTGAATGACAACTTTTGCAGTGTACAGTATCTCTCTTAAACATCATTCACATATCGTTTGTTAATCGATGCTCTTGTTTAGCAAAATGTTTAGTCTGGAAATTCACATCATAAGTCAGAAGATTTAGAACGGAAATCTACACCAAATAATCGAAAAAAGTTTGGATTTTCTGATGCTTTATTTACTAAGTCATAATATCAATAACAATAGTTACCCAATTGTTTATGCAAACTAGTTTTTAGAATGATTCGACTTGTTTTGTGTATAAAACTTAACAATTATAATCACAATATGAAGGAGAATATAACATGATGGGAATATCTACTGTATACTACATGTTTCTAAGGTACTGGAAATCCTAAACATTTAGCCATACTTGTTTAAATGTGTTACTCACAGTGGCCCAGACATATTTATTATCTCTGTTAAAATTTTGGGCATAGTTTTGTACTTTAGTTTTGACTTACTTGATTTACTTGTTTCTTTTACGCTAAATTCATTTTATTAATTTTCTACTACTACTTCTATCATTTCGTTTACTGTTTTACGTCTAATTTACTTAATTTCTTTATATTATGGTCATGTAAATTTTGAGAGCTTCAACCAATGGATACTTGAGACGGGTTTCAAGTTATTTATGGTTGACTAATTATTTGAATTACTTGGAACGATGTACTTTTCACATGAGTAATAAATCACTCAATTAGTAAACTCTTTAAATTTTAACATATGCATCAAACGTTTCCTCCACATAAGATTTTGGTGTTAAATAAAATAATCTTTGTATAGATTACACGAACATCATTTAGGGTTTATCGATTTTGCTTCCTGCAGTGAATGAGTATATTTATGATTTTCAAAGCTGTAGAGTACAATGTACAGTAATACATACGTTATCTAAATCGTACTTAATCAGATGTCAATAAGTGTCTTCACACATTAGATTTGCTAAGAACCTTATAAATGCAAAGTACTTTTGAAAAACTGGCAGAAACTGATGCTTGTATACACTCTTTGTGTTGAACCGTTGGTAAAAGGTGTGTTCTAATGAGAATTAGCCAGTTTTTGTTTCACCATAGTCTTAGCACCGCTTATAATTTAACACGTTGTTATAATCATTCATCTAACTTTTCTTCACTTTCCGTATACTCACTAAGTGAGAATTTCTGTTTTTATTTCTTTATAGGTTATTATTTCTTATTACTTCTAGGGCTACCACGTAACTTACATTCGATACTCTTTTTTATTTATTTTTTGATAGCTTTATTAAATAACACAATAATCCTCTATTTCATCATTGATCTGTATGTGTAAAAGTTAACTAAAAATACGAATAATGTAAATTATATTGTCGATAAGAAGATTCATCTTCATTTTAGTCTAACGACATCAATAGTTTTCTTTAGTTGTTTGGGAATGTAGCTTGTTCATTCTTTTACTAATTGAGGCACATTCCCCTTCTTTGTTTCTTTACAATATCTTTACTTCTTCTGTATGATGAATTATTTTTTGGAGCTCTATAGTACCAGAATTTATGTGCTTTAAATGAACGAAACAATATCAATGCAGCAAAAGATTTGTTGTCTATGTGTTTGAAAATGTTTATTGAGAGCGAACGACCTTAATAATGTAAGCATAATGGATAACAGTTAGTTTCTGGGCCCTCATTTAAAAAATCAAAAGACTAATCAGGTTACTAAGATAAGTTAACTGTGATATCTGAGATATATACATTATATTCTAAGCCAGTATCTATTTTTTTATCTGAACCCTAGTTAAAGTAGAAAATCCACAAGAATTACCGAACCGAATAATTCTATTAAATAGTTCATTTATTCCCTATTGGATTAAATTGTATACGGTACCGTTTCTTAAATTTTAAGTCACTAATACACCAGTTAATTTAACCAGTAGATTTGAAATTTATGATAAAAACTTAAACATTACTATATCAGATTATGTTGTTTTGCCTAGTTAATCATTGAAAAGTAAAAAGGTATTCTTCATATCTTTTTCATATAGTAAAACAAACAATTTTATATTCATTTTACACAATAGGTAGCTTCTGTAAATTACTGTATCTAACTTAATCATATATATATATATACTTTAAATGTTTGGTACATATGTCTATAAATATCAAATGATATACAAATTTGGGGCGTGGTACTCATATTTGTAGTAAGCAATATAAACAAAACAAGAAAGACTCAGTGAAAGACCATAGTCATAGTAATAATAAACTGATAAAAATGAAATTTAATTCACTGAATTAACTAAGAGATTAATAACAATAACTCAGACGATAAAGTGTTGATTTACTAATAGTGTTGACGGCAATATTGATAATGAAATAATAGTTGGAAGTGATTCATCTTAGTTGTTTTGATTCTTCATATACTATAAACTTTCCAGTTGTGAATGCAAAATTTTTTTTGATATTTGTGTATACATGGGTTACTTGTGTGTGTATTATTGTTTGTTTTTTTTACACTTATGTGCTTGTCAGTAAACAGTAAAGATGTATAGAATGGAATATTCTTATCAAAATTTTTTTTTCAGAAATTGACTAAACAAAATGTTAGACTTATCAAAAGATTTAGGAGTTACGTAGAAAATTAATATTTCGTTTTGTTTCTAATTTAGTTATCTCTAGAGAAAATGAGTAACACTTAACCACATATTAGTAATCAGAGTAAAGCTGTTCCCATTTAGTCTATGTAAATGACATTTGTAAAGATATATTCTTGATCTTTGTTAGATTAACAATAAATTGATAGAATAAATAAAACTAAACAATGAATATGATCAAGGTGAACTCAGTAGATGATGATTGATCATTTTAATTTCTTGTTACGAAAATGTTACTTACTACTTTTAGTAGTACAATTCTAATAGTTACAAAATTCTGTATCAATTTCACCCAAAGGTAAAATGAAATAATTTTTGAAATTTTTTTTCGTGAAATAAATGAACGTTTAATCATGGGAATTATCACTTCAGCTTGTAGAGTGAAATATACTCCAACTGTTAGTTTTAAAATTTGTAGTGTTGTTGTTTAAGCTAATGAATCATTAAAAACCAGGAGAGATTTCAATGATAATCAAGGATTCTGCTCTAACAGTAAAATGTATTACATAGGAATTCAAGGACTTCTACTGTAAGACTCGAAGCTATACTGTTACAGCCATTTTATTCTCTCATATTTTCAGTAATTCATTAAACGAAAGCAGTTGAGAATAATAACCGTTTATAGATTAAGAATAAATTATCTGAATGGTACTTTGCTTACTTTGTTCATTTTCTGTATTATTTGATGATATTCGATATCATTCTAACGTTCATATAACATTCATTTTATTAAACTATAGAGAATCATTTCCTGGTTTTTACGGTTTCGATCTTTATCGACCATTATGTGGTGATACTTATGAAGCAAGTGAAACAAAACCGAGTACTGCATTTTTTGTAAGTAAACTGTATATCTAACCAATTGAAGCTTTATAAATCATTTACTTATTATTTCATTGTTTTAGGATGCACTTTTGGATTACACAGGCTTCTTACATGAATCATTTAAGCTGTTATACTCACTTGTGATAAGAAGTATATTCGCTGTAGAAGTGTGTTAACTGGATAATTTAGTAATCAAGTATTCATTTTGGCACTATGCACGACGAGTAAAAACGTATAAGCACACAATTTAGCTAGAACTGTTTTAATGTTACTGTTCGACAAATGTTTCTGAATATTATCTTATGTATGGAGTTGTTTTCAGACTCTGATAATGCCCAGAGTTGGAGCTGTTACTTTTTACTACTGATAACAAGATGTTTTCTAAATAATTGAAAACATTGGCTAGCTAGCCTGGGGAAAATGTTTGTATTTATTATTGTACTGTCCTCACTTCAGTGATAAATAAACTATCCTAAATCTCATTCTTCTTTATATTTACTATTGGACTGTAGTATTTTAAAGATGAACAAGGATGGACAAATTTGTATGCGAAGAAAACACCTACATGGTGGACATTATCCTATTGGTGTCAACGTAAACCCCCAGAAGGTTCATTCATTCGTTTAACACCAGTTTATGGGGCATCAGACAAACAACAGGAAGTAATCCAGAGGTAAGTTTCTTAACTTTCATTAGTGAAAACAAGAATCATTGTAATTTTTGTGAACTTATTCTAATATTGATGACTGTTTCATTTTAATTGTTACTGAGACGTGGTTTTAATTTGTTACACTAAGAACCAGATTCGCTGATATTCATAACGAACAAATTTTCTGTGTTTATTGGCTCCCAGTTATAATTTTAATTTCTCTGAGCTAGTTGGTTGATTTGTAAAGTTAAGGAATTATGTTATGATGTTTCTTATTAAGTTGGGAATCTTTGACTTGATATTTTTTAGTAAAAGTTAATCCAATAAAGTGCTGTTTCCATTTTAGTCTAGGTAAACTGGTCTTCTATTCCTTACAATATCTGACAAATATATAACAAATACATTCGGAATATTTTCTCTCTCACAAATTAGCTTATTTAAATAGATTATTAAAAATTATATTTCAGTAGTGTGTACATGTGTATAGATAGTTACATGTACACTAATGTCAAAGGAAGAATGTAATAAATAAGTAATACTGTTTTGTTCACAAATTAAGATAGTTTAGGTTTGTAAAATATTGAATCCCGACTCATCTAATGATATCGGGTCTGCCGAGAATTCTAAACTTCCTGGGTTTAATCTCAGATGGGTTTGTAGGTTGACACACTCATGTGGAGTTCAAAACTTGATCAGGAGAGATACCGAGTTCTTTCTGGTTGTCAACGTCACTTTGACATCATTTCATAGTAAAAATTTACCTTAAAAATAAATATAAATCACTGACAATCACTATTAAAAAGCCTTGTACTCTAGAATTCTAAATTCAAACCAAATTTTGTTTTTGTTCCTTATAAAAGCGTAAGTTTTCTTTCGTTCTATATCCATTTTTGTGGAAAATTTCCCTAATATTATCGGTTATTTTTCTATCCATTCGGAACATTTGACTATTCTTCTAATAAAATTCACTTCTACAGTTTTCTAAGTCTATAATTTTTGAGAGGACGAAAAATAAAGGCAGAAAATTTGTTCTTTTCTATCCATTACCTACTTTGTCATAAATATTCACTTCTATCCATAAATATATTCATAACAGACAAATGATTCCCCCTTCCAAATAAACTCTATAATAGTATCGTATCGCTTTTATTTGTCTAATAAGCAAATAATTTTAAAGTAAGGATAATTTTCTATGGTTTGTTTGTAATTCAGTCAAGAATCAGGAAATAAATAGAATAGCATCAGCTGTTGAATTTCCAATACTTTAAAAGAATATGGGTCAGTAAAGTCAAGTGTTAATTTTTAGTAATGACTAAAAATAAAGTCTAAAACGGACATTTCGTCACATACGACACCCGTCAATCAATTGTATCTAAAAATTAATGCTACTGTTTTCGTTGAGAATCGAACTCAGTGTTTTCTACCAGCTAAAAGATATAATAAATATCAGTTATTGTTGAGTAGTTCCAAAATATCGTTCCCCATAATACCCAAACGGTTCAATTATGATCTTGTTAAAGTTTATCATCAAGTATATAGATGGATTGGAAAGAAAGATGTGACAACTGCCTACTCATCATTTCTCAAACCAACAAGAAAACATTCTTCAATTAATTTCATTTCAACACATTCCTTGTACTATGAAATATTTGAATATTCATAGACATTTTATTCAGATTGTATATTTAAGAAGTTGTTAGAATCTATAAGAAATTAATGTTGAATATATAGTTTTTATCCATAATGTGTAAATAAATTTTTCTCATATCACTTCTTTTTTTATTTCTCTATTCAGATGTTTTGAAGATTTTATGGCGATTCCAACCACTGGAATGGGTCGTTACAGTATAGTAATGGTTGGTAATTCATTAGCTGAATACTTTTTTGATCCAATAACAGAACGATTATGCGTTACTTTACCATATGAAACACCTAAAGGTAATTAGTAGTTTAAAAAAACCTTTCCACTTCTATCATTCATACTCATTTGATTTTTCGTGTAAAAATAATAAAAGTATTGTGAAATAGAGCATCTTTTAAAAGATTCATTTTCTTGTTCAAATTCAAGTCAAATTAATTGAGATTGTGTCAGAATTTAAATGTATTGTGCTTTTATATTTTTTACTTCACTTATCATCTTTACTTAAACATGTATATTCTTACTTAATAACTCAAATAGTGTAACTGAATTTGTTGTATGATAAAATTAAAATTGTTAAATGAAGCCAATAGCTGTAATTGTAGCGATTACACTAGATTAAAAAACCAATTGATTATCACCCTCTATATTGTATACTCTTTTTTTAACTACAGAAGGATGTGAATATAGTCAGTTCAATGGAAAATTTATGTGTTTCAATAGTTGTCTATATAATGGTGGTCAAGGGAACAAGAAACCACTCTTCTTAATCATAACTTTAGAACGTTTAATAACTGGGTAAGTGTATATTAATTTATTGAAATATAACAATTATCAAAGTGCTTATCTTTAGAATCAGCTAATGAGTTATATTTATCACTTTAGTGATTTTAATAATCTGTTCACTTCAAACATTTTAATACAACTCTTGTTTTAGTACTATAAACTGATCATCTAAAATTTAACAAATAGGGATTTGTGTATATTAAGTATATAAATGCTTTACAGATGTATTGATGTTATCAAGTTTGATAAAGTAAAAATGGGTTTAATAAGAGAAAACAAAGAACGTTCAACACTTCCTGATTTTCGGTGATTCCATAAATGATACTATTTGTGATCTCTATTTTTTGTTATTAATACATAGTTAGTGTAATGTATTATATATTCAGTGGATTTTAATATATGAATATCACGTTAGATATGTTTTTGATGCAATATTGAATGCAAATATGAATGAACTAGATAAGAAGTTTAATTACCAGCTATAACGAAAGTGAATAAATCTATGACCAGTAAACCTAATGTTCTTTTATTCTTTAATATATAGAAAGATATCATTTATACTAAATAAATATAAAGACGTTCGTATTTATTGAAAAAAATATATATCTCCACATCTACAGTGAATTGAAAAAAAATTGATGAAGACAATAACAATAGAATAGATGATAATGGTTTTGGTTTGTCAATTTTACATTGACATGCTTCAGCATGTTTTAAAATCTTTTATTAGAAAAAAATTACCATATACGTTTGAAGTAAAAGTGTGTCTATATTTTTGCTTTTCTGAATGTGGATATATATACCCCCTGGAAGCGAGAGAGGTGACGATATGTACATTTGTAAGGTAGTGAGAGGGGTGTTACATACTCTTACTTATATACTGTACAAACTGAAAAAAAACATTAAGCATATTATGTACTTATGCTGTATTGAAATTACTTAGTAACTAAGGTCATTTCAGAATCATATACAAATTTATCATTTTATATACTATTCATGGGTATACGTATTTATTTATTTCCATCTTAAATCTCATTTTGTCCTATGTCCAAAACGATTAGACCATGTAGTGACCAGACGTGACCTGAACTAACTTATAGGTTAGTGAAATCGCTAACAAACATGGTAAAAATAACAATAACAACAATCATAAAGATATAATACTATTCATATAAGAATTTAGTTTGAATAATAAAAGAAAGATATAGAGATAGAGAAAGTGATGAAAAAGTCAATTTGTCTGGTCACGGGGGTATTCGTTAAAAAAAACTAGAGTCACAATCATAAGTCTTTAATAGCAGAATAGATTAGTTTACGTTGTCTACAGATTAAAAAAGTAAATAAATTTATAGAATAAAACAAAAGAACCTAGACATGACATACTTTGAGAAAGTTTATTCGTGCGGGTGAATGAATCAGATGTTGAGTAGTCGTTTGAATGTTGATGCATTTAAACAGAAATAACATTTATTAACTGAACAAAATCATCAGTTAATAAAACTAAATAACATTGGTTTCATGCAAGTGTAAAGCGATAAGACTATCATACATGATAACCTGTAATGTTTAAAAGGTTTACAAAAAATCTAATGTCATAGAACATTTTTAATCGACATAATTACTGTGAAAACTTTACAAGCAAGTTCATTTCAAAAGCAGAAGTCTAGTAGACTTTGCTATATTTTAAAAATTACCAAGTAATTAATATAGATAATCAAACCCTTAGGAATCGGTGCAATCCTAAAAATTATCTAGTCTATTCTAACCAAGTCTAATAAGTTATGGAGTTCACTTTCCTTCTCGTTTAAACAAGTGAATATAATCTCAGAAGCGAGATAAACTATTTGTTGATGACACCTGATATTAGTTGTCTATAGGTTTACAAGTTAGTCAACATGGATCGTGATCAGCGATTAGATTAAATAAAGCAATTTAAGTGTGCACTATAGTCATCTTAATAACAAGTTTATTTTGTGTTAAAAATCTCATAACCGTATTATGTTTGGATATTCCTGTCATAATAACTGGAAAATACAATTTAATTCTTATTAGAAATTACTGAAAACAAGTAGTATGTTTCTTGATTTTAAGTTAGTGTGTCGGTCGTAATCATCAATTAATTTTTAAAAGTAAACCTACTCAGAGAAGACTACCTTCAAGCATTCCAGTAGCGCTTACATTATACATACAGTCACAAGTGTGCGGTACTCTTAAATAGATAATTAGATTAGCTTTATATTAGTGGCTTCAGACCAAAGTATATATTGTGTAAATAGACTTTTTGAATAAACTACCATGGAAATAGTGAGGTAAATTTCGAAAATTTTTTTGTTGAAAGTTAAAAACATAATCTGAGTGCGATTATCAAACATATCAAGAAAATTGGAAATGATTGTTGAAATTATTATTACCACGTTGCCTGTTGAATAGTTAAAGGAAACATTAACATATAGAATATATAAAATCGAAAGGTTGATAGACCTTTTTTATCAGAAAGTTACTGTCAGCCTGCTAGGTTCCGTGAACATGAGATTCGAATAGTGATACATACGCTTCTTATATGCACGTTCAAACCAGCTATTTGAGTGAGAAAACGAAAAGTGACTGGTGAGCTTTTATTGGCTGAGAAAATCGGAAATATATGAACAGCTCACTCATAAATATAGATACCTGTCCCACAGAAAATTAAGCTATGTTTTCTATCAGTAGGATACGTCTATTTCGTCAGAAAGTTAAGTCGATAGTTACAGTTAAACCTATAGTGTATATACGTCATCATCTATTGCTTCTCATTTAACCTACGCATGATCATCCTAGAGTATAACTATTCTTCTCCTACTTATTGTAAGCACAAACATTTCAATGAAAACATTTCTTGTTTCTTTTTGATAAAACAGGTCTGATCCAAGTAAGGGACATTGTGAAGTACTTGGACGTCAGTGCATCAAATTTCGTAGTTGCGCATGTCCTAAACGAGATAAAGAGAATAACGAAAGACGTACTGGAGATTCCTTAGTAATTGGTACTCCTTCATTAGGTAAACGCAGGAAGGAATCAAGTAAGTGAATTTGTTTAGTCTCAATTTTTATAGATTAGTTTATACTACTGAGAAATAAAAACAGTATTATCATTTGAAGTAACTATTAAACCATTACAAATTACCAATTAAACATATGCATGAAAAGTGAAGTTAACCTTTCGGAACACTAACAGTTATAGCTATTTATAATTTTCATACAGTAAACATCTAAGTGGATTCTCATAAGGAAATGTAGAAGATATCAGTTTGATAGTGAAATATCAACGTCGAACTGAGCGATTCTTTGTTAGTTAGTTAATTGAGATTCGTAAGTACTGTGGGTCAGGAGCTAATGGAAATTTGCATCATAATCCGTAGCCGTACAAATCATTTACTTTACTGTTTAACCGGTGATAAGGATATAACAAATTTTGAGTACAATCACTATTTAAAAAAGTTATTTTTTTAGTATTTAATTTACTTTAGTTATCCATAAAATACACTATTAGATCATTCCTACTTCTTATCGTTTGTGTTTGGACCAAATCTTTCCTAAACGTTTGAATTCCCAAACTGTTTGTTTATTGAAACATATGTGAACTTAAATTTGCATCGATTGTCATAGCCAGCTTGAACTTGAAATACTGATCAATCAAAAATTAAGTTTGAAGGATACAACTCTACTTAAGTATTCCATTATTGGCTTGTTCTTAGTTATTCCAAGTGAAACTTTCGTAATGATGCGTCAAAAAATTATTACTTTAATCAACTGAGTTATTTCCGTATGGTTTGATTGATCACAATAAATATAGCTTTTTACTGTAGATAGAAGGTAGCCACATTAGATCTTTTCGGAATTTCCTGCAACAAACTGTATAGATTCCTGAGGTTGTTTGCCAGTAAATCAAATTAACTAACAACATATCATAACAAAATTACAGTGATGTTTGTTAGTACTTTTTCATAATACCTAATGATAGAAATAGATAACATCCTTCAAAAGTTATTTCGAGCTATTCCCTTTATTTCCAGATGATCGTAATGATCGACAAGTCAAACGGATACGCTCAAATCAAAGACCATCATCAGTATGTAATATAAATAATATAACTAATGCCAACATTCAAAATAATAATGGGGTAAATTATGAAAAAGATACCAATCTGTTACGTGAACATAACTGGTTATCACCAAATAATGAATATTTAATAAATGATGAGAAGTGTCCAAGTGAACCGAATGGATTTGACGACATATTTGATTATTATGGACAAGAAAATGATTATGATGGTTATGGACAGAATACAATTCATTTCAATGGAGAATCATACAATCTCTTATTAGTTCCGACAAATTTACCTGGGGCTGTCGAAACATTATCGAGTGTACGTTATGGTTTGTTACGTGCATGGATATATGCACTAGCTAAACATCATTATCATCATCATAATCAACAATATCACATGATAATGAAACAATCACCCTTAACAAATGATTTAAACAACAGAAAAGAAACCAAAAGTGACACTAACATTAATAATCATACCTCATCATTAAACATTACAAATAACGTGAATACTAATATGATGGTAGGTAAAAATACTACAGAAAAACGATCAGATACTTCAGAGAGTCGATACTACCCTACAGTATCTGGAAATTATTCACACTCGTATAATCGTGCCGTAATTGGAAGCACTCTGAATCATTGGCTTAAAACGGAGTCACACCTAGCTGCTCTAGTGTAAGTTATATATATATATATATATATATATATAACATTATTATTCTGTATGTATAGAAAGAGTGTTAATGTTCCGCTCTAAAATTGAATTGATGAATATAAACGAAAGTCAAAATATCGGCAAGTAAATAGAATTAGTGAATAAGTAGACAGGTATTATATTGATGGATGTCTATGAAGGTTGATCATGGTCTTTTAACCTGTCACAACTAGGCAGATTTGAATTTTTTGGACAGAGCAGTGTGTAAAACCTACCATAATATTAGCGATAAGTGTTCTTAAGTGAAATTTTCCAATGTTTAAACAAATCTGCCTTCATATTTAAAATTACGAAAACACAAACATATTATCTGAGGCCAGAGAATATTTCGGCCGAAAGGTTTGTTAACAGACACTAACATATCTATAGTTCAATCAACTCAAACAGCTGTAAGAAATAAATTTTTGACACAGATCCTGACGAATAAAACAGAAAGACAAGAAATAGTGATAAATTTCCCAGAGGTTTTGGAAAGCCTAGTTAGAGCAGCAGTTATCCTTCGAAACAGTGTTTTCGGTGTAAATTACGTAGGATCAATATTCATGAAGGCGTCTCTGAAAATACACTTAGTTTGGAAAAAAAGTTTTAATCATAGACTGAAATTGTTTAGAGAATGACTGAAAAACCGTTTTGTTTTCAACAACGCAAGTGGTGTAAACACAAATCTTGCGTAAACATCTAAAAGATAATATAACACTGTTTCTTTGTGATACTTAGCTTTTATGTGAGTGAGTTTGTCGTTCATTTAGTTAATAACAAGCAAAGAAGGATCTGACACGAATATACATCGGTCCAAGTTCCTATCCCACATCTGCACGTTGAGATGATGTTGACAGAACTAACACAAAGAGATTAGTGAAAGAAAAGTTAGCTATAGTAGAAAATGAAATATTGACTACTATTGGAAGTTTAAATTTTTCCGAAAAACTCATTCTTAATAATAGACACAGAGATTAAAAATGTAATATAAAACACAAAATTAACTAGACAGTTTGATGTCTAATTATTAAGCTTAAATTGTATCCAAAACAATTGATTGTGTCTTGTCATTTTTATATACTCATCGGGATATATTTTAAGTATGCACAATATAGATTTCAGTGACTAATTGTATATCATTAGACTAAAGTTGAAATGAATTGTACCGAACCAAATATAGGACCACAGGATTGCTTTTAGTAATGATAGTGATGGATGATTTTCATCTTTGAAATAAGAACAAAACAATACATCCATAGTAAGTAAACAATTTCAATGTTAAAAATGAATAGAGAATAACCTAACAAACATAAGCAAATGTTTGCAATACAGACAGTATGTATATAGGTAGTATAATAAACATTAGTGTTGGTTTTGCTAGTAATATTATTAGCGATGGTATGAATCATACATGATCTAAATGTTAATGCTTAATGAATGTAGTTTCGGTAAACTAAGACATTTCTGTGACCTCAAATTAACAAGACTCTTCATACTTCACCTTTGTAGTCAATGTAATTAAGCTTGTCATGTGCACTCAAATATCCACGTATATATATATATATATATATATATATATATATATATATATATATATATATATATATATATATATATATATATATATATATATATATATATGATAGCAAATCGACCGGACTGTTAAACTCAATGAGCTTAAATATAAGTAACATGGTTGGTGTTATAAGTGACCTGAATCTGTAAGTAATGCATCCGCTAAACGAATTCTTGTAAACGGTTATCTCATTATGAAATGAAACATTTATTTGTGGTTTCATCCAATTATTTTAGTTTGAGGGTACTATTAGATAAATTTGTAATCATGTGATAGAGTCGTGGTACAGGTTAGAAAAATATTACGTTATTGAATGATTCAGTTTCTTAACAATGTAACGGTTATTAGCGATGTAATATTCTTATCTTTTTCATTTCAATTGCTTCGATAAATCACAATTTACAGTTGCACAGCAGTACTACTTTGGTGTAAACTCAACGTTATGCTAGTGTTCATCCTGTTAGAAAGCAATGACTATTGAAAGCCTTTTCTATTTTCAACTAAAAAAAGAGTCTTTGAAATATTATATAAACTGTTAAATCAGTCAAATATGTACATTTCTACTAAACTTCAGAAAGTAACAGGAATTATTTTGGTTGATATCCGAAATATATTTTAAGAGGGAAATAAAAATATGAAAGAACTCATAAGAATGATTTTTGTTTTTAAAATAATAAGTCACTTTGACTCTTGTTTTTTTTTGTTTATTACAGACGTGAAAGGATTAATTTATTGAACATGTATCAACAAACTTATCACTTTAGCGGTGATTCTACTGATTCACAGCCGAATTCTACGTTATCTACTGGTGCTATGGGATTTAACGGTACAGGAAATCTAGATGAACCAGTTAATATATTAAATCAAGACTACTTTAATTCATCTAATATGAATGGATCAGTAGGTAGTGAATTGATGAATTCAAATTTACCACGTAATTTGTCTAATCATCAAACAAATATAATGCAAAATATGGCTGCGTATATTTTATCATCTACTAGTACAAATACTACTACATCTACTACTACAACTGCTACGTCTATAAATAATATCGGTAATCGTGGGTTCATTTATAATACACCAAATGCTGTTGATACAAATTGGTCATATGAAACAGATTCTGATTTAAGAACTGGTCAAACATCTCATACGGATCAGTTATACGAATCAACTCACCACGGATTGATCATAGGCAATAACAATAATAGTAGTACTCTACATGTTGTATCAGAATTAATTGATCCTTATGCACTAGTTCAACACTTACCTCAGTCACTTTCATCATCATCACCAGTTCATCAACATCATCACATTCATTCACACCATATACATTCTGCACATGTCCAATCACAGCATAATCATCAAATTCATCTTCATCAAGGTATGAATAATTCGACTTCTATATCTGATACAAATGATAATCATTCATCAGCATTTACAACAACTGCATTAATTTCTGATAATACAATGAACAATAAATCATTAACGCTTAATACATGTCTCCTTCCTCAAATAACACCAACGACAACGACAACAGTAACGGATACAGGAACAATAGGGACAACAAATTTTGGTCATGATTTTAATACATCAAATTTTTATACTACAGCCTACTTTAATCTTACTAATTCCAATGCTAATGCTGATAATAATAGTAATGGAAGTAATAATAATGTTATAGACTGTACTAATGCTAACCAATCAAATGATATGACAAATCAAAATTCCACTTTAATTGACTCATTATCACGACCTAGTATACCATCGAATTTAAATCATCGAAGTATGTCACAAAATTCCACATTATGTAACTATCAGTTAACAAATCATACGAATTTATCTGAATCACTTTTATTATCAGAAGAATTGTTACATAATTGTCTGGACAATAAAAAGAAATGTTATGATGAACCAGATGGTGTTCACTCTATACTAACTAAGCATTTAGTGAGTTGATGAAGTTTTTATATGAATGTTTAAATCACGTGTGTATCCAGTCGATAATAACAAAACTGGATAGAGATTTGGTTACATTTTTGTGAAATAATCGTATGAGGATTAAATGAACTGGCTTTCAGACGGTCGGTGATTCAATGAATCTCATCGTTAGTTGTATAACTTAAAACAAATATCGTTAACTCCCACAGTTGAAAAAATATTTCTTATATTAATCATGAATAGATCTTGTATGTAAGACTTGACGAATATAAAGCGTAAATATAAAACCAATTACAGGCTGCTTACAAACAGCATCAAGACTAAACGGCATCAGATGGATTGGTATTTGATGTATCGAAGGAAAAATTATTTGTTATCTTAATCGAACCTTGTATCGTAAATAAGTGGTCTCTCAAGCGTAATAAACTAGTTTGTATACAGTATTATTTCCTTATAACTGATTTAAACTACATAGATTCCATTGGAGACATTTGTTAGATCAATCCAGTTCATAATCGAGATGTTAAGGTAGTCAAAAGGAAACTCTGAAATTAGACTTCTTCCTAGTTGACTTTCATAAACAATAGCCACCCTGTGATCCTGAAGAAGGTGGTGTTTCTTGTGAGATTCGAATCCACATCGTGGAGCATTACAGCTTAAGAAGTTACCACTGATATACTGTAGTCGTGACTGAGATATTAACAGTTGATTACTCATTATTTAATGACCGAACAGTATATACAATAGCAATTTTTTCCTTAAATACTGTGTTATGAGTTATGAATTAAATTGATAAGAAGATAAACAGGTAATGAGCCTAGATTTTTTTCTTCATGGTATTTATCAAATGAAATTTAACTTAAGTTGCTTATTGAGTAAGTCATAATAACTTCTCCAGAAATCTTCCTAGCCCTAACATTCATTTAGAATTCTAAATGTACTAGTAACAGATTTTAAACTGTAAAATAACTATTCGGAAGAAGTTGAAGGAAAAATTCAAGCGTTTATCATCCGCCTTGTTAACACTCTGAAATCTAATATTATTTGATTATAGTAAGAAAACCAATCTCTCATTTAAGTTTTTTTGACTTTCATTGTTTAATAGATGCTATTATGTAACTAATTTTTTAAATCTTCTATTAACTACTATTGAGAATTTCGGTACTTATCACAGGGACAATGTATGTTATTATTATGTATATAACCATTGGAAGTTCTCGCTTATATGTTAACATTACGGTTATGAATATGAAATCTCTAAGAAATGAAGCATTAATAAAACACAAATCTTCTTCCTTTTTTTTCAGAGAAATACATCATTTTGTTTATCATCTACACGATCCCCTGAATCATGTGGAGCTGAAAAATTTGTTAAATTAGAAATCTAGAGAGAGAAAAAAGTTTTCAAATGAAATAATACTGACATATATTGGTTACTTTATTATTCATTCAAATTATCATATAAAGTCAATATAAACTTTAATTCAGTCTAATCAAACGATTTGATATTTATCCAGTCATTATTTACTTGGTCTAATCATGTCAATGAGACTGTTCTTTTTTTCTTTCCAAAAAAAACAAAAAAACAAAACAATAAAGATCTACAAATTATTTCCATCTATTCAATCTTTTATATACCACAAGTTTTCATTTATTCTATTCAAGCATATGTATGCACATGCATTTGTAAAATTAAAAATGAAATACTTAAAGTAACATGTAACTAACACTACTTGTCTTCATTACATATTATACATATATCAATTTCAATATCATTGTTTACTATCATCATATTGTACAAGAATATGTACATTATAAGCATTAAAGTATAAACCAGTTATTTGGTTTGTTTTTATCTTTTTTTATTATCTGTAATTTCTTTTTGGTATTTTATTGGCTGTCGCATTTATTGTACGCCTTGTGTCATTATCATTATTATCATTATCACATGAACTCTTTTAGGATTTCTAATGGAATTCAGTTTCTTTTTTCAACTTTACTGTCATTTAAACAACAAGAACAACAACAACAACAACAAGAACATCTAAGCATTCATCTATTCTTTTTTTATTATTAATGCTTTTAGAAACATTCCAAAATGAATACATTGAAGTAATGGCATTCTATTGTTCATTTTCTTAAACTCATTCAATTTTTTTTAGTACTAATACGACTATTATTATTATTATCATCATTGCTTTTTATCGATACACTTAAACATAAAATTTTGATTTCTTTTCCGCATTATTTTCTGTTTTTTTTTATACATAAAAATTTTGTTTCCTATTTTCTTGGCTTTATCAAAAAACAAAATACATACATGTATAACATACATATATTATGTTGTTCTGATTAGTGGTTGATCTGTAAAATTAGTGTAATGGTCAAGAGGTTTTATGTTTCTCTTAGGCATCTGTTATGTCTTTATGTTCGACTTTTTATCACGTGATTTATCAGCCAATCGAAACATGACATATACAATCTTAGTACTGTGCCAAGCCGATGACGTTCGAGTGGTATGAGCAGCCTAGCGTCCTTGTTGGTCCAATGTCCGCCTAGCCCGTCCATTTGAGTCCAGAACACTAATACGAGCTTCGACTATGCGAATCATATATTTCAAACATACTGGGTTTATATATCAAACAAAGAGACCGCAACGTACCATAAAATAGGAAATAACATTTGTACACAATAAAGCTAAAAAGTGGCTGTGAACGTGGGAGGCAGTATTCAATTAACTGAGCATAGCTTAAGAACAGTAAATCGTACAATAATAATATATAGGTCAAAATAAAGCTTACAACAAGGGGAATATAGATATACATAATCTAGTTACTGAATATTTATACCATAAGAATATATAAATAATATGAGTCCATTAATAGGTCTCAGACGTTACTTGTAATATAATCTTCACTAGGATATAACAGTATCTTTACGCAATGGGCTAGAAAAATGTGTGAGACTATAATTTACGGACGACCTTTGGGCGATGCTGAAGTGACCTTGAGAGTATCTACTTACTTATTAGGGCTAAATGAGGGTTATAAAGCAGTTTAAAGAATAAGGATTATGATTTACAGTTGATAGTTAGGGTTAGGAATTAGATTTAAAGCTTTTCATCACGAACTGACACCAGATATAATGCCAAGACTCTATTTAGCCAAATAGATAAATGAATTTCGCGGCAAAATCTAAGACCTGCTATCGAAAATCTGATTGGTTCATTCATAAATTATAGTCTCGCTGAAAAAAAGTGTTTATCAGGACTGCGGAAATCAAAGGCAAACTGTGGTTAGGAATATGATTCTATTTACTGACGTTAATTAATCTGAATATACTGAAAAATTAAAGGGTAGCTTAATATTAAAAGAGGTGTGAACCACGCTTCTCCTATTTCACTATGGGTGACATATTAATATCACCAAATGCTGCAGAAAATAGTGAAGCCCATTTGTGAATACATGAGTTGGTAACTTGTTACCGAATCAACCTTAATTATAACCAACCTGATGAGAAAATTTAATATGCTACCATTAAAACAACGGTACAATCGACGGAAAGACCTGATAGTCAGTTATTAGCCTCTTCATTTGCATTATACTGATTATTGGAAAATATAGTACTGTATATTGCATGTAGTACTTCTTTACGAATCCAAAACGTTGCTTAAACCATGTTTGTCTTATAAATAGCCACAAATTGTTGAACATTAATTCAAAAAGTATTAAATAAAAATGTTTTGTCAGTATAGGGTTGTGAAGATTATTGAGTTTTTTTTTGAGAAACACATAAGAAATAACTTGAAGGCAATTTGGATGTGCTATAGGTGTGCTATAACCTTTATTGACCAAAGAGCGAAATATTATTATTTCAGTTATTCAACTGAACTCAATAAAATGTAAACTTAATGTTAATTTACTGATATTCCTTAAACATGATTGTTACTTCAAGTCACTTTAACGTTTGTTAAATAACTAAACTCCCCAAAGGCTTTAGGTTTGGAGCATAAATAGCCTGTTTGTCTAGAGTCAGATTTGTATAAAATGACTATGTGGCACTTTTACTGTGTCAGTGTGGTATTTATATGAACTAATGATTCCTTTGTGTTTGATGACTGCTTGATTTCCAATTCTAAATACAATACGTTTATTTGTGCTCACCTAGTTTGTAGTGTCAGTTATTATGCCAAGCCCATATACCTTATTCGAGCTTTCGGACATCCCATTCTATTCATTTTACTTGAGCCATACATTGACCTTGTTATTTATTCGCTTATCAATCTAGACTGTTTTTATATGAGCGTATATGTGTGTGCCCTTCTTATTCCATTAATCACATGTCTGTAGCTTTATTTTGTCTGACTATAAATATTGAGTAACGCTTGACAAAAATGGAGTTGGCTACATAGCCATCTTCCATACGTGTCATTTTTGGTTTGCTGTGCTTCATTCGCTTCATGTACGAAATATATGTATTCTCAAGTCAATTCTCGTTATTCGACTTATTTAATTCCGTTATTGGATAACGCGATTCAAGTCGACGATGATATACGAGAATAAGCGATAACAAACATCCATACGCTCTAAATGGAGTCAGATCAAACGGGCCACAAAATTGGTGAATAAAAGAGTAGAACAAAATGACACGTATGGAAGATGGCTGGGAAGCCAACTCCATCTTTGTCAAGCGTTACTCAATATTTATAGTCAGACAAAATAAAGCTACAGACATGTGATTAATGGAATAAGAAGGGCACACACATATACGCTCATATAAAAACAGTCTAGATTGATAAGCGAATAAATAACAAGGTCAATGTATGGCTCAAGTAAAATGAATAGAATGGGATGTCCGAAAGCTCGAATAAGGTATATGGGCTTGGCATAATAACTGACACTACAAGTTCTTTGTGGCTTGAATCGCATTATTTCGGGAATTCCTAGTTCATACAATGATTCAAATACTCTTAATCATCACATTGGTATCGCGAGCAGGATTTGATGCAGTCGACATGTCTCCCACATAATTCCATTAGAAATACATTAATCATGAGAACAACGCGTATCTGGTAAAATAATATCATGAATCCGACCAGAGCATGATTCATCTGAAACATTCGACTTAATAGGATCAGAATTACAAAGTTGAGCATTACTTGCAGCAAAATGGACAGTAGTATTCCAAACTAACTGAATGTGTCCAATCTTTCCATATTTAAAGCACTTAGAATTGTGAAAGACATATGAATTAAAAGAGTGAAACATGCCACAGGACAAACATTTACCAAACTTGTGCCCATCTTCGTGACCTGCATCGCAACTCCTCAATGAATTGTTATCTGAATAATCTTGAGCACTCATTGGATTGGGATAACATAGTAATGTAGTGGAATTTCCGATGTCCTGATGAATCATTTAATGAATTTTTCCCCCTTTATAGCATTCGAAATTCCTATGCTTTACATGGTCTAGTATTAGTTCCTTGAGAGTTGCATAAAGAAGCGAAATAGGCTTTTCTGGAAATATCAGTCTTTATTAAGCTGTATGCTTTTTTTCCGATAAATGTAAGTTAATGAGCCATACTATTAACATCCTCAACATCTTCCTCGGTCATAGTCTAGATTTCGAACCATTCCATATAATCCTCAAAAGCATCAAAATCTGAATGTATGTTCAACCGTTCCATCACAGTCAACCAACAGCGAATTTATAGTAACTCCAGGAGTATATAAAATTCTGTTCGACTGATGTTCAGTGGTTGGTGCGACAAATACCTCACAGGTGTTACTCGTGGCCTATCTTTGACACCATATGTGAGAACTACTGTACTGTCAAATGATCGCAAGCTGCATCATATGCTCAGATACTATTTACTCCAAGATTAGTTCCTCAAGTGGTTAGCGTCACGGTTTTGAGTGCATAGGTCGACTAGTAGTAGAGGCTTGGTGGCAAGTGTCATAGTGCAAATGTATATTCTAAGCCGTGACACCACGTTTACACAAATTAATTGTGGTGTAGAGGTTTAATGGCTTTTTGAAGTCCACAATGGAAATGTATATTAAATGGACTGACCAAGGTAAAAAAATATATAAAAATATACAACCAAATGAATGCGAGGCAGAAAATGAAAGTTTAACCCTAAATAAATCGTCGAAAATAATATGAGAATGAATAATTTACAACTACGTAAGACTACACGTGAACACATTGAGTCTGAGTGTAGAGAAAGTTCAAGTAATTCATAAATTTATATGCAAGAAATGTCACTTCCAAGATATGTACATTTAAATGTTTCGGCAATATACTAACTAGGAGAAAAGGGATACAGTAATTGTTATTACAAACTAGTGACCTGGCAACTAAGTAGCAATGAAAAGGGGAATGACGAAAGGCAAGAGAAGCATGTGTGCCTTGTGAACGAGAATCAAACGACCAAGTGTATTCAGTGCAGGAGACAGAAATCACAATTTAAACAAACTATCCCACAACGAATAGTGAGAAATTTATAAATTAAATGAAGTCTGAGAATAAAAGTTATTAACAAGAATTGTTCATACATTCATTCTTG